CTGAGCAGAGCCCAGAGAGGGGTTGGAGTCTCCTCCCGGGGACATTCCAGATTGACCTGGGCACAATCCTGAGCCCTGTGCTCCGGGATGGCCCTGCTGGAGCACGGAGGTGCCACCAACTCTCCCACTCTGGTCCCTTCCAGCCCAACCCATCCCGGGATTCTGGGATAAGGTTTTCCACACACCTTCACCCTCCCCCACCAACACACAGCGTGTAGGGTGACAACCGCAGAGTTTTTCCTGTCACAGCTCATTCCCAGCTCCTAGAGGTGCTCCTGGAGCTCCAGGCACTGGGCCAGCGCTCTCCAAGTATCCAACGTTTAATCCAAAATCCGGTTCTCCCATCCCCAGAGCTGCTGTTGGTTCCTGGGCCTTCCTGAGCGCTCCTGAGCAGCTGGAACGCTCCCAAGGCAATGATTTCTCCTGTTTTCCACACTTTCTGATGGTAACAGACACGGAAATACCACGGGGGAAGCATTTGACCTCCCCGATTCCATCCCGCGGTGGAACCGGAAAACGCGGGGAAGGAGGGACACAAACATCGGAGATAACAAAGCTCATCCAAATTTTTCCCAAACCACAAAATGAAACAGCCAGGCAGTCAGCGAGGGAAAGGTTTCTACTGGGTTTATCTTTTATCCAAGGTAGCACAGAATGATTTTCTCCTGACCCTTTTTCCCTTCCAGAATTTAAGGAAGCGTTTTCCCTTTTCGACCGGACCCCCAAGTCGGAGATGAAAATCACCTACGCCCAATGTGGAGACGTCCTGAGGGCTTTGGGGCAGAACCCGACCCAGGCTGAGGTCATGAAGTTGCTTGGCAGACCCAAACCTGAAGGTTGGTGGCCTCCTCCGTTTGTTTTCCCAGAATTTTTCCTGGAGAAGGTGAGGTCTCCATTTTCTAAGTGAGAAGTAACTCAGGATACGGAGCAGCCTCTGAAATTGTCAGCAGAAAGAGAGGAAAAATTGGTCTGGAAGTCAAGATAATTGTCCCAAATTGAGGGGAATTAATTAATTTAACAGCCCTGGGCATCAGGGTGTTTCAAAATGACAAGTGTTTTGCCTTTTAAAATTGCATTTATGGAGGAATTAATGTGTTTTTCCTAAAATCACCTATTATTTCAAACCCATCCAGAGAAACAAAGGGATAACCTGGATGAAAGGACATGGATTGTTCCACAAAAGATGGGTGGGAAGGCCTGTAATGATTGCAGTGATATCCTTCTGTATTCCACATTTCCATGTTCTTCTCTCCCTTTCATCCAATGTTTATCCCCACATTTCTGTGCTCATGCTGGATATTCCATTGTTATTCCCAACTCTCCCAAAATCCCCCAAAATTTCCATTTCCAGGCTCTTTTTTCCTTTTATCCAAAATTTACCACCACAGATCTTCTACCCCATGGTGGGTATCCCATTGTTATTCCCAGAATCCCCCAAAACTTCCATTTCCAGGTTTTTTCCTCCTTTTATCCAACATTTATCACCACAGTTCTGCCCTCATGGCAGATATCCCATGTTTAATTCCCAGCTCTCCCAGAATCCCCTCAAGCTTCCATTTCCGGGTTCTTTTCTCCTTTTTTCCAAAATTTATCACTGCAGATCTTCTGCCCCATGGTGGGTATCCTATTGTTGTTCCCAACTCTCCCAGAATCCCCCAAAATGTCAATTTTCAGGTTTTTTCCTCCTTTTATCCAACATTTATCCCCACAGTTCTGCCCTCATGGTGGATATCCCATGGTTAATTCCCAGCTCTCCCAGAATCCCCTCAAGCTTCCATTTCCAGGTTCTTTTCTCCTTTTTTCCCAATTTATCACTGCAGATCTTCCACCCCATGGTGGGTATCCCATCATTATTCCCAGAATCCCCCCAAGCTTCCATTTCCGGGTTCTTTTCTCCTTTTTCCAAAATTTATCACTGCAGATCTTCCACCCTGTGGTGGGTATCCCATCATTATTCCCAGAATCCCCCAAAACTTCCATTTCCAGGTTTTTTTTGTCCTTTTATCCAACATTTATCACCACAGTTCAGCCCTCACAGTGGAAATCCCATGGTTAATTCCCAACTCTCCCAGAATCCCTCCAAGCTTCCATTTCCACATTCTTCTCTCCTTTTATCCAACGTTTATCACCATGGACCTTCCCTCCCATGGTGGGTATCCCATTGTCATTCCCAACTTGCCCAGAATCCCCCAAAACTTAAATTTTCAGGTTTTTTTTCCCCTTTTATCCAACATTTATCACCACAGTTCTGCCCTCACAGTGGATATCCCATGGTTAATTCCCAACTCTCTCAGAATCCCCTCAAGCTTCCATTTCCGGGTTTTTTTCTCCTTTTTTCCAAATTTATCACTGCAGATCTTCCACCCTGTGGTGGGTATCCCATCATTATTCCCAGAATCCCCCCAAACTTTCATTTCCAGGTTCTTTTCTCCCTTTATCCAATATTTATCACCACAGTTCAACCCTCACAGTGGATATCCTGTAGTTAATGCCCAACTCTCCCAGAATCCCCCAAAACTTCCATTTCCGGGTTCTTCTCTCCTTTTTTCCAAATTTATCACTGCAGATCTTCCACCCTGTGGTGGGTATCCCATCATTATTCCCAGAATCCCCTCAAGCTTCCATTTCCAGGTTCTTTTCTCCTTTTATCCAAAATTTACCACCACAGATCTTCTACCCCATGGTGGGTATCCCATTGTTATTCCCAGAATCCCCCCAAGCTTCCATTTCCGGGTTCTTTTCTCCTTTTTTCCAAAATTTATCGCTGCAGATCTTGCACCCTGTGGTGGGTATCCCATCTTTATTCCCAGAATCCCCCCAGGCTTCCATTTCCAGGTTCTTTTCTCCTTTTTTCCAAAATTTATCACCGCAGATCTTCCACCCCATGGTGGGTATCCCATCATTATTCCCAGAATCCCCCCAAACTCTCATTTCCAGGCTCTTAAATCCCTTTACCCAATATTTATTTATCACCGCAGATCTTCCACTCCATGGTGAGTATCCCATCGTTGTTCCCAACTCTCCCAGGATCCCCCAAAACTTCCATTTCCAGGCTCTTTTCCCCTTTTATCCAACATTTATCACCACAGTTCTGACCTAATGGTGGATATCCCATGGTTAACCCCCAACTCTCCCAGAATCCCCCCAAGCTTCCATTTCCACGTTCTTTTCTCCTTTTTTCCAAATTTATCACTGCAGATCTTCCCCCCCACGGTGGGTATCCCATCATTATTCCCAGAATCCCTCCAAGCTTCCATTTCCAGGTTTTTTTCTCCTTTTTCCCAAATTTATCGCTGCAGATCTTCCACCCTGTGGTGGGTATCCCATTGTTATTCCCAGAATCCCCCAAAACTTCCATTTCCAGGGGTTTTTTTCCTTTTATCCAACATTTATCACCACAGTTCTGCCCTCACAGTGGAAATCCCATGATTAACCCCCAGCTCTCCCAGAATCCAACAAAACTTCCTTTCCACACTCTTCTCTCCTTTTATCCAACATTTATCACCACGGACCTTCCCTCCCATGGTAGGTATCCCATTGTCATTCCCAACTTGCCCAGAATCCCCCAAAACTTCAATTTTCAGTTTTTTTTCCCCCTTTTATCCAACATTTATCCCCACAGTTCTGCCCTCACAGTGGATATCCTGTAGTTAATGCCCAACTCTCCCAGAATCCCCCCAAGCTTCCATTTCCGGGTTCTTTTCTCCTTTTTTCCAAATTTATCGCTGCAGATCTTCCACCCTGTGGTGGGTATCCCATCTTTATTCCCAGAATCCCCCCAAGCTTCCATTTCCAGGTTTTTTTCTCCTTTTTTCCAAAATTTATCTCTGCAGATCTTCCACCCTGTGGTGGGTATCCCATCATTATTCCCAGAATCCCCCCAAGCTTCCATTTCCAGGTTCTTCTCTCCTTTTTTCCAAGTTTACCACCACAGATCTTCTACCCCATGGTGGGTATCCCATTGTTATTCCCAGAATCCCCCAAAACTTGCATTTCCAGTTTTTTTTTCTCCTTTTATCCAACATTTATCACCACAGTTCTGCCCTCACTATGAATATCCCACGTTTAATCCCCAGCTCTCCCAGAATCCAACAAAACTTCCTTTCCACACTCTTTTCTCCTTTTATCCAACATTTTTCACAACAGATCTTCCACCCATGGTGGGTATCCCATTGTTATTCCCAGAATTTCCCCAAACTTCCATTTCCAGGCTCTTTTCACCCTTTATCCAATATTTATCACCACAGTTCTGCCCTCACAGTGGATATCCTGTAGTTAATGCCCAACTCTCCCAGAATCCCCCAAAACTTCCATTTCCAGTTTTTTTCTCCCTTTATCCAACATTTATCACCACGCTTCTGCCCTCATGGCGGATATTCCATGGTTATTCCCAGCTCTCCCAGAATTTCCCCAAGCTTCAATTTCCAGGCTCTTTTCTCCCTTTATCCAACATTTATCACCACAGATCTTCTACCCCATGGTGGGTATCCTATTGTTGTTCCCAACTCTCTCAGAATCCCCCAAAACGTCAATTTTCAGGTTTTTCCCTCCTTTTATCCAACATTTATCACCACAGTTCTGCCCTCATGGTGGATATTCCATGATTAACCCCCAACTCTCCCAGCATCCCCCCAAACTTCCATTTCCACACTCTTCTCTGCCTTTGTACAACATTTGTCACCACAGATCTTCCACCCATGGTGGGTATCCCATTGTTATTCCCAGAATCCCCCCAAACTTCCATTTCCAGGCTCTTTTCTGCCTTTATCCAATATTTATCACCACAGTTCAACCCTCACAGTGGATATCCTGTAGTTAATGCCCAACTCTCCCAGAATCCCTCAAAACTTCCATTTCCAGGTGTTTTTCTCCTTTTATCCAACATTTATCACCACAGTTCAGCCCTCACAGTGGAAATCCCATGATTAATCCCAACTCTCCCAGAATCCAACAAACCTTCCATTTCCACATTCTTCTCTCCTTTTATCCAACGTTTATCACCATGGACCTTCCCTCCCATGGTGAGTATCCCATTGTTATTCCCAACTTGCCCAGAATCCCCCAAAATTTCCATTTCCAGTTTTTTTTTTCCCTTTTATCCAACATTTATCACCACAGTTCTGCCCTCACTGTGGAAATCCCATTATTAACCCCCAGCTCTCCCAGAATCCCCTCAAGCTTCCATTTCCAGGTTCTTTTCTCCTTTTTTCCCAAATTTATCACTGCAGATCTTCCACCCTGTGGTGGGTATCCCATCTTTATTCCCAGAATCCCCCCAAACTTCCATTTCCATTTTTTTTTTCTCCTTTTTTCCAAATTTATCACCGCAGATCTTCCACCCTGTGGTGGGTATCCCATCATTATTCCCAGAATCCCCCCAAGCTTCCATTTCCAGGTTTTTTTCTCCTTTTTTCCAAAATTTATCACTGCAGATCTTCCNTCCAAAATTTATCACTGCAGATCTTCCACCCTGTGGTGGGTATCCCATCATTATTCCCAGAATCCCCCCAAGCTTCCATTTCCAGGTTCTTTTCTCCTTTTTTTCCAAATTTATCACTGCAGATCTTCCACTCCATGGTGGGTACCCCATTGTCATTCCCAACTTGCCCAGAATCCCCCAAAACTTCCATTTCCAGTTTTTTTTTCTCCTTTTATCCAACATTTATCACCACAGTTCTGCCCTCACAGTGGAAATCCCATGGTTAATTCCCAACTCTCCCAGAATCCCCCCAAGCTTCCATTTCCAGGTTCTTTTCTCCTTTTTTCCAAATTTATCACTGCAGATCTCCCACCCCACGGAGGGTATCCCATCTTTATTCCCAGAATCCCCCCAAAC